ATGTCATGAGACAAAGTGTATGTGAACTGCTGTATGGAAAGTGAATTTGCTCTGTAAACTTTCACCCAAATCACAATAAAAATTTTTAAAAAAGTGATGTAAAAACATTGAAATCAATTACACTGTTGAAATGTTGAAAATTATCACACTTCACCCTCTCTCTTGCTATCACCTCTTTTGTTGTCCTTCAGACTCTGGCTCTCACTCCAATGGTCTTGGTCTCACATTCATGCTGACGTGAAATGCGGAATGCTAATGTCTTTGCTTCATTTCCTCTCATAGTTACTGATTATACTACTGGACGAGTTGGAGCCCCTCTCATTTGCTGTGAAATTAAGCTAAAAGACTGGCAGGAAGGTAAGAATGTTATGACAAGCTCTAGTGATTCTAAGTACACTGAAAACCACCGTGAGCCCTAAGATTTCCATGTCTTGGAAATGCTAGGTTGTCTGAGGTAGCAAATGATTTTTTTGCCATTGCTTGTTTCCTGGGCTTGCTGCTTCCCCAGTAAAACTCGGTCTTCAGGTTACCAAGAGGAAAGGAAACTCTTTAGACTCTAAGTATACCAATTCTGAACTTGGAAGTACTTGGCAAAGAAGAAAAATTTGCTTAGTGGGCTTTCCCTAGGTTTGGAGAACATGAAATTTTTTCCCCCATCCTTGGAAGCTTTGCTAGTGAGGATGTTTAAGTGTTGTTGTTGTTACGTGCCGTCGAGTTGGACCCGACTCGTAGCGACCCCTCCTTGGGTTTCCGAGGCAGTATCACTACGGAAATAGATTGCCCCATCTTCCTTCCGAGGAGTGGCTGGTGGGTTTGAACTGCCAGCCTTCTGGTTAGCAGTCAAGTGCCTTAGCCACTATGCTACCAGAGCTCCCAAGAGTGTTTGAGTAGGGAAGTAAAACCCCAGATTTTCAGGAGATGAAGTGATTGATTATATACAGACATAGACTTAGATCTTGATCCCACAAACATTTTCACAATTGAAATTCAACTGTCTGGCTATTTTTCTTTTTCCTTTTTTGATTGTGATAAATAAGTGTGTATAAATAGTTGATTTTTGCTATTTGGCTGCAGAGATGAGCCACTTTGGAGGAAACCTGTATTTTACATTGAATTGGTGGTAGTAAGGGATCTCTTTTACAAATCAGCTGCTGAAGGCAAAATAAACCAGTCTTCTTATAATGAACTTACGAAAGTTACTAAGTAAATACATTTGCTGCAATAAAATGGATTGCTAAATAAACAAATGACTAACAGCCTAGCCATAGAAGATAAAGGAGGAGGAGTTAAAAAGCTTACGATTTAAAAGAAAATATTTACCTTGGGTTGGATCCATGGATTGAAAATGTGAAGGATCAGTTGCCTTGGAGGACCCATCTACTAGGTTGTTGAAACCTTAAAAAAAAAGAAAAAAAAATGGATTTTATCTGACATAAACTTTAAGTTTCTGAAAGTGTACCTACTTTGTGATTCTTATTATATGCATTGTTGTCAGTGCCCTATGAGCAAAGGACCATTTCTTTTAAGAACAATATAAAAAGCCAATTGCATTCTCTAGAGTTTTACATGTCAGGACTAAGTTGTCGTCTTACTTTTTCCCATGGTGCTGCCTTTCTAATTTTATAAAGAAAATCGGGGTAGAAGTCTGTGTATTGAGAACTCGCATCAAAATTGCCTTTTAATATGGGTTATTTGTTGAGCAATGCAGTCAGGGAGGCAATGTTTATAGTAAAACATTAAGGAGAATTTCTGGTGTTGTGCTTTAATGTCTGTTTTGGGCATTGGGTCCATTAGGGGCATATATTAGACCATTTAATTGCTATGAAGGATCTTTTACTTTATACAATATAATTGATATTAATACTTTGCACATAGTAGATTTGTTCTTCTGAAATTTTGAATAGTTTCAAATGTATAAGAGCAGCTAACATGGAAGGAATTCTGCTTTTAATCATTTTATAATACAAGATCTAATCATCCCAGTTTATAAATTCAGATGTTTGTATATTTTCCATAAAGTAAGTTTTATTCAATAATAAAGAGGTAATGATGAAATCTTTTAAGTTATTGTCAATTATTTTAGTGTTGTAAATGCATGACATGCCATAGGCAGAAACTAAGAACATAAAATAGTCTTCTTATTTCACCAAGTCTCCTTTTTCTCATTTAATGGTGTTGCCTTCTTCAGGCACATACTACTGGAAATAATCTGAATTGCATTGATATCAACATATTGGTAATTTACTCATAACTGAGCTTCAAGTATTCCCCTTGTTGGGGGTAATTTACTCATAACTGAGCTTCAAGTATTCCCCTTGTTGGGGGTAATTTTATCTTAACAGAGTTATAGAGAGCCCTGTGCTTGATGATAATCTAAGTGAGTTTTATTTCTCAGCCTTATGGTCATGCGAAGGTTTAGAATAAATTGGTGGCGGTGGTGAGTATTGTTGGACGTTCCGTGGCACCTGAAATCACATCTAACAAGCAGCCACCCCACTATCCTTATGCAAATCAGAGTAAATATAAGCTTATATCCTCGCATAAAGTGATATAAAATTTGACCAACAGAGAGGTAGTAGTAAGGAACTTGAAGAATTAATGAAGGACAATTTTGTTGTAGAACCATAACTAGTTTACTTTTATGATTTCCAGGTGGTTATACAATTCACGACAAGCCAAACCCTAGAGGAGAAATCGTAATTGGTGGACAGAATATCTCCATGGGATATTTTAAAAATGAAGAGAAAACAGCAGAAGACTATTCTGTGGACGAAAATGGACAAAGGTGGTTTTGCACTGGTGATATTGGAGAATTCCACCCTGATGGATGCTTACAGATTATTGGTCAGTGTATTCTGTGTATGTGTGTGTGTATGTGTTGTTGTAACTTCAACAAATATGAAAGATAATATTGGTCAGGTTATTAATAGGATAGACAGTTCCATTGGTTCAAGCTTGGGGCAAGTTATTTAACTTGTATCTCAGCTTCCCTATCTGTAAAATAGAGATAACAATACCAGCTTCTTAAGATTCTTGTGAGAATTGAATGAGTTGATGTATCTAAAACGTTTAGAATAGCGCCTGAACCTTGGTAAGTAGTAGCAGCAGTAACAGCATCCAGAGTAGCAGCATGGGGGTTAAGGGAATGGGCAAGAAAATAGCAAATTGGTGATGAGAAAAGGAAGACAGCTCAGAGAACTATTTTCCATCAACTCCATGAGGTTCTGTGTAATCATTTACTGTTAACAAACTCTAGGTCTTCTTCATCCTCTTCGTGTTACTCTTGTCTCACATGACCATATTGTCAGTTTACCTGTCTACCCAAGGGGCAATGTGAGCATATTTTGTTCCTGATGGCCATTTTTATGGCTCTAACCAGCCTTGACCATTAGAAAAGGATGTTATCAATCCTCAGCACTAATCTCATCTTCTGAGAATGTCAGTTGCTTTGCATCACCTTTATGAGCCAACTAAAGTAGAGTGTAAGTTCAAACAGCAGTTCCAAAGCGGGCCCTTAGGTGGTTCACTTTAATCAGGCAAAAATTAAAATGAAAATTCCCCAGCGGATAAGGACCACTCTGCAGGATATTACTCAGGTCCTTTTCAAGCCATAAAATTTTCCCCATCATATCTCTAGTGACCCGTTTAAATCTGGCACTGAACCTCACAGTATCTGATCTGAATGTAGTTAGAGATTCCCTGGGGAGGTTGTTTCTAAGGCCCATTTAGATTTATCTGGAGAAATTTCCAGGATGAACCAATAAGCCTTTTCTCCCTTGTTCTGCATGCATGTAAAGTGGGCTCCCAGGTTGTGGTGTGGGCATGTCAGCACTGACAAACAGATTGTAAGACAACCTTATGATTATTCAAGCTGTGCCATCCTGTGCGAGCACTTTCTTAGTACACTGCCATTTCAAAAAGATAATGTCACATGTGGAAAAAAGGGCAGTTAATATTTGTGGAACATGTTTTATATGCTAGACATTGTGCTACATGCCTATATGAGGTAGGCATCATTATCCCCAATACAATTAAGGGTTAGAGACATTAACTGGTACGCCTAGGGTCATATGTGCTAGGCTACCATTCAAATATAATGCCCCCAAGTCCTTTTTCTTTCTATTAACTGCAATGTAATATTTAAGATTACAATTTAAGATGATGAAAGTTTGTGTATCCTGTTGTCATTGAGTTGATTCCAACTCATTTAGTGACCTTATACACCCACTGCCATCTAGTTGATTCCAACTCAGAGTGACCCCCATAAGGTTTCTAAGACAGACTGCCTTGTCTTTTTCCCATGGAGCATCTGGTGGGTCTGAACCACCAACCTTTTGGTTAGCAGCCAAATGCTTTAACCACTACACCCCCAGAGCTCCTTAGAGTGCATCATTATAGCCAATTACCTCTTTAACTAGGTATTTTCTTTTTAATTGATATGTGTGAGCCAACATTATATAGAATAAGATTTCAAGGTAACTATTTTTACAAATAAAAAAGCAAAGTGATCCAAACAAAATCAGAATTATATACACATTAAATAAAACAGTCTACGGATAACAACTCTCTTCGTGATTTATAGATCGTAAGAAAGATCTGGTGAAGCTACAAGCAGGAGAGTATGTATCTCTTGGAAAAGTAGAGGCTGCACTGAAGAACTGTCCACTTATTGACAATATCTGTGCTTTTGCCAAAAGGTAACTTTTTAAAATTGCATTTTAGGTTTCATATAGTAAAAGGGTAGTTAGCAAACAGTTTGATTATATATAACTTTAAGGATAATATCAGCTCCTCTTAGAAGTTTCACCAGAGTTGAGAAATGATATACATTTCTGAAAATTGTTAAATTTAGTAGCTTGAAGATCATTTGAGATAATCCAGACATTTAATTCCTTGGACACCTACTATGTCCTGCTAAATACTTAGCTTCCTGCTGTTGTTGTGTGTGGTCAAGTTAATTCAAACTCCTAGTAACCCTATATGACAGAGTAGAACTGTCCCATAGGGTTTTTTAGGCTGTAATCTTTATGGGCACAGACCACCAGGACTTTTCACCCATGGAGCGGTGGTGGATTCGAACTGCTGACTTTCCAATGAGCAGCCTAGTGCTTTACCACTGCACCACCCAGCTCCCTTAAATACTTAAGTGTGCTAGAAAAAATTATTTCACTTAATACTGAGAACAACTGACACTGGGCTTAAGTAATTTTGCTAAGATGCTAACACATTTAGATGAGTTTTGAACTTTATAAATCAAGAGCCTGAGCAATTGAACTCTTTTCTTTATACATCAGTATATTTTGGGTTTTTATTACTTTTTAATGAAAGTAACAAATAAGAGAAATACATATTTGGAGTTATCTGTACTATACTGTTTGAATGAGTAATTCATGAATAGTTGTTCTCCATGTTTTAGTATCTGTTTTATTTTCTGATTTTTTAGTGACCAGTCCTATGTGATCAGTTTTGTGGTTCCTAATCAGAAGAGATTGAGTCTTTTAGCACAACAGAAAGGAGTAGAAGGAACTTGGGTTGATATCTGCAATAACCCTGCCATGGAAGCTGAAATACTGAAAGAAATTAGAGAAGCTGCAAATACCAGTAAGTAAGAAATTGCTTTTCTGTTGAAGTGCTAAAAGTCATTCAATGTGTCTAGGCCCTTCAAGATACTTGGTTGGTTGGTTGATTATTTTACTAATGAACAGCAGAGTTTTTGCTGTCTACCATATATCATGAATGTCCATGTTGAAAATCTCTTTTAAGTGTTGCATAGCAGAATAACCTATCAAGTTCTTTATTCCATGTTGCAGTATCCATCAAGTGGTCATCTATCTATCGTGTGTTTGGAATGGAATTTTACGCCTCCCCAAGGTCCATCTTTGGATAGATCTGTTATGAAGGTCTACCTCATATCTGTAAAGAAGCAACTAATAACTTTAATGAATAGTGTCATAACTATGATTATACTTTGTTTATACTTTGGAAGGAGCCGTGGTGGCACAGTGGTTAAACACTGAGCTGCTAACGTGAAGGTCAGTGGTTCAAACCTACCATCTTCTCCACAGGAGAAAGATGTGGTCATCTGATTCATTAAAGATTTAGAGCCTTGATAACCCTATGGGGCAGTTCTACTCTGTCTTGTAGGGTTGCTATGAGTCGGGATCAACTCAGCAGCAATGCAATATCCTTTGCCTCTGTAAGTGGACTGTCTCAGATGGTGAATTAATTCAGCCAACTGGAGATCTGAGTAGATACTATGTACCAATCATTATAGTAGGCACTAGGAATACAGATGATAGTAAGACACATTTCTTGCCTTCAAGGAGCTCATTGTCTAGTCAGAGGGACAGCAGTTTTAACAGCAATCAAGATATGATCAGAGAATTATGGTACCACAGAGGAGGGTATCTCACCCTACCTGGGGAGTCATGGAAGATTTCTCATGGAGCTGTCACCTAAGCTTATTCTTAAGGGTTGATTATAAATGAACTAGAAAGGGCATTCTAGGCTGAGAAGCAGCATAAATAAAGGCAGAAAGATTTTTTTTTATGTGTGTAGGAAACTACAAGGAATTTGGTGTTAATGGTGGAGTGCAAAGTCTAAGAGGCTGAAAAGATAAGCAGAGGCCAAGCCATGTAGTGACTTGTATGCCATGTTCAGAAATATGGACTTAACTCCATAGGCAGTGGGGAGTCATTGGCAGGTTTTAGCAGGTTGGTGATACAGTCAGATTTGCATTTCAGATCACTCCCCATTCACTGTGGATGCCAGGCTGCAAATGCATCGGAGGGAGACAGGAGGAGACAGGAGGGAGACAGGAGGCTGTAGTAGAAGTGTAGAAGGGAGGGTAAGAGCCTGAACCAGGGAAGTGGTGGATTCAAGAAACATTTGGGAAGCAAAACTGGCAAGCTTGAATGATTAATTGGGTAGCATAGGTGAGGGAGGAAGGTTGGGAAATCTACTTCCGTAGAGATACCGCCTCAGAATCCTGACGTTTATAGCTCAAACCGCAGAGTAGATTAATTAGGCTAGAAAATGCAGGAGGAAGAGCGAACTTTTTTGTGAAGATGGTAAGTCCAATTTGGGACACAAATTTGAAATGTCTGTTGGATAATGAAAGTTAAAATGTCCAGCAAGCAGCTGCAAATATTAGTTCAAACCTTACCAAAGAGACCTGGACTGTATATAGAGACTGCGGGATAATTGGAACCATGAATATAAAGTGAAAACAGGAGTCTCGGAACAAGTCGCTGGACGACATCAACATTTAAGGAATGGGTGGAGGAAGGGGCATGGAAAGAATGATCAGTGAGGTGCAGTAGGAGGACAATGCAGAGCATTGTTCAGAGACTTTCAGGAAAGAGGGAGTAATCACCAGTTTCAAATTAGCAGAAAGGTCTGACAAAGTTTACTGGAACGTTGCTTTGGGAAGTCAAATAGATTAAAAGTTAACTGTCAATAAGCCAAATAGTAGGCAGTTTTCTAACCTAGTTTCTCTTCTTCATTGGTGTAATAAGTGCACATCTTTCTGTTTGTTTTTTAATCATGTAGTACTACAAGGCTTACATTAACAACAGCCCATGATGCATCTCTCTGTCTATCCAGGTTCACCTTGCCCACTTCAACATTAGTCATTTAAAAAAAAAAAAATTCTGACATTCATCTCCATTTTGCTGCAGAAAATGGTTATATTATCGTTTCTGACTTTTTTCTTTTTCATTTTAGCTGTGATCTGTTTACTTCCTGCAACAGAAGATGATTTCACTCTCTTGTGTCCACCCCCAACACACACTGTCTTTCCCAATCTGTAGTGCAATTGTACACTTTACTTCATGCTTACATTATTAAGACCGTGATGAAAATTTTCACAACTGAGCTATGTAGTGATTTTATCATTATATTTCTTTTCTTGGGAAACTTTTGTTTCCCTGTTATTAATTCTTCCCCTAACCTCTGGTAGCGTTGTGATTGTTGTTGTTGTTAGGTGCGGTCAAGTCGGCTCCAACTCATAGCGACCCTATGTACAGCAGAAAGAAACACCGCTCAGTACTGTGTCAGTCCATCTCGTTGAGGGCCTTCCCCTTTTCAATTGAGCCTCCACTTCACCAAGCATGACATCCTTCTCAAGGGAATGGTCCTTTCTGACAACATGACCAAAGTAGGTGAGACAAAGTCTGGCCACTCTCGCTTTTCAAGGAGCATTCCAGCTACACTTCTTCCAGGATAGATTTGTTAGTTCTTCTGGCATTCCATGGTATTTTCAGTCTTCTTTGCCAACACAATAACTCAAAAGCATCAACTCTTCTTCGATGTTTCTTATTCATTGTCCTGCTTTCACATGCGTATGAGGTGATTGAAAATACTATGGCTTGGGTTAGGTGCACTTTAGTCTTCAAAGAGACATCTTTGCTCTTCAGCACTTGAGGTCTTTTGCAGCAGATCTGGCACACTGCAATACCTCTGTGATTTCTTGAATGCTCCTTCCATTGTTGTTGACTGTGGAACCAAGTAATATGAAATCTTGGACAACTTCAGTCTTTTCTCCATTTATCATGATGCTGCTTATTGGTCCAGTTGTGAGGATTTTAATTTTCTTTATGTTGAGGTGAAAGTCCTCTCTCAGATACAGTGTATTTATAAGTGTATTTATTTATTTTATCTTGGAGACATCCTCCTTAGAAACTTCATCCTTGTGCTGGAAATTGGACTGTGTGCTCCCTGAGCTTCCCTTTACTGTCTTCCTGGGCATTCCTTTGCCTCTCTCCTGGGTTGCATCTCATGTCTGTCTCTTTTCCTGGTGCATGCCCTCATTTGGGCAGAGCACACCCTCCAGCAGCCTCCTGAAAAAAAGGTACAAAGGAGATAAATCCTGGAGACCCTGCATGGTCTGAGTATGTCTTTATTTTGTCCTCTCACTTGAGAGGTAGGTGGGCATACTTTAGAACCCTAAGTCAGAAACCATCTTTCCTTACAATTTTGAAGTCTTTGCTCCATTGTCTTCTAACTTCCAGTGTTGCTGGTTAAGCTCAGTGCCATCCTGATTCCCAGTCCTGTGTATGAACTATTTTCTCTAAGTTTTCAGATTTTTTTTTCCTCCCTCATCCTGATGTTCTGATAGTTCATAATGATATGCCCTGGTGTGGGTCTTTTATCATTTTGTTGGGCATACCTGGCATGTGTGCTTTCAGTCTGGAGAGCATTGTCCTTTGCTTCTGGAAAATAGCTTTTTATCTCTTTGTGTGCATTTATTACGCCCTTTGTGGGTTTCCCCCTTTCCAGTGGGTATGTGTGTGTTTTGGGACTAATGCATGTCTGTCAGACCTCCTGATTTTCATCCTCTAATTTAACCATCCCTTTTTCTCTCCTGTTTAATTTCTAGCAGAGCCCCTCGACTCTGTCTTCTGTTCTGTCTATTGCATTTTCAATTTCTGCTGTCAGAGTTTTAATTTTCAAGAGCTCTTTCATCTTCTCTTGGTGTTCTTTTTAATACTGTGCTGGTGCTCTTTCATGGATGCAATTAATGTGTCATCTCGTATTTCTCTGAGGATGTTACAAAGGATTTCTTTGATGAAATTTTCTTCTGTTAATGGTCTGTTTTCTCTAGGTTCCAGTTTCTACTTGTTTGGGTCTTAGCCTCTCTGGTGTCTGCTGGCCCTTGTCTGTCCATTCATATTTAAGGATGAGATACTGAAAAACTGTTTGAAAAACTTCCTGGGCTTCACTGAAAAGTTATTCAGATGAGAGTTGTTGCTTTTCCCCTTGGGTCATTCCATTTCTCCAAAGAAGAATTCTCTAGTCTCTTGCTGGGTGGCATATTAGGTTGACCGCCAGTATTCTAGTAGCCTAAAGGGAAAAAAGATTGGGAGCTCTTACTGTTACTGAAAGCCCTCTGTTTTCAGCTTTCTTCCCGCCCTCCAGTGTTCCTGGAAGTCCCAGTGCTAACAGTTAACGTGCTTGGCTGCTAACTGAAGGTTGCAGGTTTCAGACCATCTAGAGTGCCTCAGAGGAAAGGCCTGGTGATTTGTTTCCAACCTTGAAATCCTGTGGAGCACAGTTCCATTCTGACAAATGGGGTCGCCATGAGTCAGAATCTACTCAATGGCAACTGGCCGTGTGCCTCGTATCCTTGAGTCCATAGCCATTCTGGTTCAGTTTTCCCAAAAAAGTAAACCTGTCTCCAGCCTGGTTAGGGGAAAAGCTACACAGAGTGAGAGAAAACTGTTCCCTGAACAGACTTGGAACCAGCCCTCCTGTCTTCAATTTCACTTTGCATCCCTGTCTTCAGAGCCATGGGCTCTAGGGGCTTTTTTGTAGGCTCTTCTGTGAGATGGTTTGCTTCTTGGTGGCATCCTTGTCTGGAGGCAGTGAGGTTTTAGCGCTCTCTGCTCTAAGTCAGTTACCGCTAGTCTGTTTGCTTGCTGTCTTCTAAAATTTTGTTGCAACTGTTCATCCAGTATGTTCTTACCTCGTTTTATTTTTGTCCTTATGGTTAATAGCTTTATACTTTTAAAATTCTTTTCCAAAGGAGATGATAAATACTGTGTTCTTCACCTTTAATTGACACCTGTTCATCTAATTTTAATCCATTGTTTTTCTTTTTA